GGCATCGCTGTAGGGGACGCGGTCCTCGCCCAGCCAGAAGCACGAGGGGCTGTGCCACTTCCAGCCCTGGGGACGGGGGACAGGGGACGTCTGCCACTGCTCACCCCAGAAGGACGGGAGCAAACCCAGGGGTGGGGGAGAGCAACATCCCACGTCCTCTTCCAGCACCTCCGCCTTCTCCTGGGAGGTCTCCTGCCCCCAGCCGCCCCGGCTTGACCCCGCTCAGCTTTGAGCTCCAACAAGCCCCCGGCCCCAGAGGACACGGCTTGAAGGAAAACAAACACCCAGGCAGCTTCAAAGCCGGGGAAACATCTCTCCCTGCCAACGTCCAGCCCCGGCCGGGGCGCGGGGAGGGGAACACAATCCTTCGCAGGGCCGAATGCAGAGCGAGTCCCAGCGCAGGCTGCTTTAATCCCCTCCTTGTTGACGTTGGAGCCTCTCCGGGCCGGAGACACAATAGTGCCTGTTTTGTGCCAGAGCAGGGAGCGAAACGGCCCTGGGGCTGGCGGCGGCAGCGCGAGGAGGGACATGGGGGCTCATCTGCGAGAGGGGACACGCGTGTGGTGGGAGTGCAAACCAGGGTGGGGTGGAGAGGGTGAGGGGGCTCAGCCGGGCAGGCAAGTGGCCCCGGGCTCAGGGACCCCCTGGCATGGTAGGAAGCATCAGCGGGGTTTTACCCCCAGGTCCCCGGGCACTGGAAGGACAGCAGGGGACATGCGCCATCTGCAGCACCAGAGGCACAGTGGGGAGGGAAGCAGGTCAGCAGCTTTGGGAGATTTTGGGAAAAGGACCTCAAATCCCAGTTTTTATCCCAAGTTCCTGCTCCTGCAGCCTGTCCCCTAAGTCAGCAAAGCCAGGCACGAACCCACCAGCTGGGTCCCACTGGGAACAGCATGGATGTCTCTGCGCAGCCAGGAAAGGGGCCCGGCCTGGGACAGTGCAGGTCCCCCATGGCCCCAGAGGGATCCCCAACCAGCTCTGGGACTCAGCATCACCAAAACCAGATGGTTGGCCTCCCACACACCGGGCATTGCAGCAAGTCGCTGTGATCCACAAAGGGGCCAGGACAGGACTGTCAGACATTGCTCCCAGCTCCCGCTCCTGGCGTGTCCCGGCTCCTCTCTCCAGCTCTGCTTTCCCCGTGGCCCAAATCTCCATTCCCATCGATTCCTTTAAGGCTTTCCCAAACATAAAGGGGGTTTGGAAAGGGGAGAAAAAGCAGCAAAGCTACCAAGAAAAACGAGCATGGTGGCTGGAGAAGACCAGGGACGATCTCCAGGCAAGATGCTGCCTCCTCTCCACAAGCCTCTCGGTGACAAATGGCCCCATTGAGGATGAAGAGGGGAAGGAAGGATGGGAAAAGGTCTTTCCTGGGCTCGTTTATCACTCCCGGTTTGTTTCCCAGCAGGTGCATCTCTCTGCTGGGCACCCAGGACCAGGGTACATACACGGCTGGAGAGGTGGGAGGGGGTTAAATTTGCACGGGGACACCCTGTTAGCATCAGGACTGCTGCGGGGGGACAAGCGGAGGGGTAGTGGTGGCACATCGCCCCCCAAGTGCCTCGTCCCCACCCCCCCCCAACACTGGGGCTCCTCCA